AAATAAATAAAATAAAATAAAAGCCTGTCCTGATTAGCTCTTGTAGACTAGGCTGGCCTTGAACTCACAGAAATCCTCATGCCTCTGCTTCCAAGTGCTGGGGTTAAAGGCGTGCACCACCACCACCCAGCCTTAATTCCTTATGTTTTGAGACAGGGTCTCATTATATAGCTCTGGCTGTCCTGGAGCTCATTATGTGGACCAGGCTGGTCTCAAACTCACAGAGATCTGCCTGCCTCTGCCTCCTATGTGCTGGGATTGTGGCCCAGCAAGACCCCTAGCTCAGAGCCCCTCTTTTGCAGGTCTCATCTACATCCTGCTCAAGCATCTGGTGGACCGGCACAACCTGTACTTCGCTTACCTCCCGGCTAAACTGGAGAAGAGGATTCATTTTGCTGCTGTGAACCAGGCCTTAGCAGCTCCCATCCTCTGCCTCTTCTGGCTTTTCTTTTTCTCCTTCCTTCGTCTGGGTAAGAGCATTCTGCTCTCGGCCCCGTGCCAGTGGCCTTTATTCCCATATGCACACCGGCCAGTTGGGTCCCTAACTACATTCACAGCGTCAGTATGGTGGAACGTGGTGCTCCTGGGTGAGGGTGGTTGGTATGGTGTTGGCAACCTGGCTACTGAGCTAGGTCAAGTGTGGCATAGCTCCAGAAATCCCCACGGAGCAGACAGCTCCAGTACCAGTTCAGTGGGGGGTGGAGACTGAGCCAGAGGATATGAGTACTACAGTCACCCCTAGGGAGTCTCTGCCCTGTCTAGCCCTAGGCTCCAGAGTCTGGGGGCAGCTGTCCCAGCAATCCCACTATCAAATGACCATTTACTTGGTGTCCCAGTGTCCAAAAGCTGACTAGGGATGATTCTAGCCAGCACGTGGGTCCTATACCCTGTGTGCTCTTGGCTGTGAGGATACCGTTCTGGCTGTTGAGGTGAGGGGTAGAGGTGGGGGCCAGGGAGCAGTCACCCACAGTTTAGGCACCAGGCCTGGCCCCTTCCTTGACAGAGCAAACAAGACAGGCAGTCCCCTGCCTCAAGGCTGCACCTGTGTTCCCAGGTCTGACGGCCCCCTCCACTCTGTTCACCTTCCTGGTGGTGCTGCTCACCATCCTGGCCTGCCTGCTCTACACTTGCTTTGGATGCTTCAAGCACCTGAGCCCCTGGAACTACAAGGTACCCACCTGGCTGCCTGCCATGCCTCAGGCAACTCTGAGGACAGCAGCGGCTTCCTCTTCTTCCTCCCTCCCTATGTGGCTGCAGTACTAGCCTTCTCTGGTTCTTCTTCGGGTATGATGTGACTTCCGTCCCTCCCCTATTCCTGGCCCCTGTCCCCATCCCTCATTTGAGCTGCATTGGGAGTCTGGTGCCGGCTGGTCCCATTGTTCTGCTGGTTACTAGTCTGTTTGTTTGGGGGACCTTTGTTCAGAGAGACCAGTTCTGTTCGTCATTGTGTCTCTGCTGTTGTCCACAGACAGAAGAATCATCAAGTGACCGAGGAAGCGAAACAGAGGCCCACGTGCCCCCATCATTCACAGTAAGCGATCTGTGTTTCTATCCCCATGGTGGCTGCCTTTTGTCCCTCTGGTTGTAAGGTCCCATCCAGAGAAGCCATAGGAATGCCCTGGCATAGTGCTAGCTGAAAAGAGAGCCCAGGCCAGTTGGCAGGCTAGTTGTGAACTCATGTCAATTGAAAGGACTCTGTAGTCAGCCAGGATGCTGCTGTACCTGCGCACAGGAAGCTGCCTTGGCCACTGAGGCTGATGCTGCCCAATGGATGCCCTTCTTTCTGTGGGCCACAGTGCCCTGCTCGCTTGCCGTCTCTCAGCCCCACTGCCTGGGGAGTTGGACCTTCAGTGCTGCTGTATCAGGAGGTCCTGTGTGAGATCCTGGGACAGCTACAGGAGACAGCAGACTTGTGCCCCTTTGAGTTCAGCAAATGCATAGGGCGCCTTTTCCAGAAGAGGCTGCCAAGTTGGAAAGGCCCCTTCTTCTTCCCGGTTTTCCCTGCCTCTGTCCTCCAGGGTGCCACCTCAGGGTAGAGCATGGCCCTTGATGGTAGAGTGGTGACTTCTGGCCATCCTAACAGGTGTGAGGGTGGGACATTGGTGTGACCTCCTCAGTCTTTGTCCTTCTAGGGGCTAAAGACTCCTCTTAAGGTCTGTTCTTGGACAAACCCCTAGAAAGTAGGTATTTGGTAGTGTAATTACCCAGAGACACCCTTGCCCCTGCCAGCCAGCAAGGAGAGCAGGCTGGGTGAAGCGGAAAATCCTTCAGCCTGGGTCTGGGAGGCTGCATAAGTTGCATAACTGACAGACACGTATCTCTCCAAACAGCCTGGTTCCCAAATAAGCTGAGACAGTCACTCAGAGTACAGCAGCAGGAAGGATGTTTCTCTGAGAACCAGAGGAAGTCACTCTTTTTTCTTCGTATTGTCAGGAGAACTGGGCTGTAGACTGCTTTCCATTTTGCTCTGGCTGCTGAGAAAGACTCAGTTGGCTCACATAGGGTCCAGATGCCCCCACGTGAATGCTATTTCTCTTTCTTTCCGTTTTGCTACTTCTTGATATGCATCCACTCACTGGGGGGAAATGGGGAGTGTGGGGCATGACCAGGATGTGGGGGGTCAGACCTGCCATCTTCCAAGTAAGACCTAACTCTCGAATCTGCCAACAGCCCTATGTGCCTCGGATTCTGAATGGTTTGGCCTCCGAGAAGACGGCGTTATCCCCGCAGCAGCAGCAGACATACGGTGCCATCCGTAACATCAGTGGGACTCTTCCTGGGCAGCCTGTGGCTCAGAATCTTAGTGACAGCCTGGCCGATGCCTACCAGGAATCCTGAGAGTGGGCAAGCTGCTGGTCTGACTGGCTCAGGGCACTCAGGAGGGACTGGAGCCCAGACAGGCCCTTAAGTGCTTTCCTATCTCGTGATAGGAGGGAACCAGCCGGTCATGGGCGCTCAGGCCCATGGCTGAGGGTTTATGGTAGAGCTGCTGCTCCTAAGCGCCATCTGTAGGCTGCTTTTCTGGTTCTAATGTGGGGAACACCTGCAGCTCCCTCCCTCTTGTGGTCGTATGAGGATATGCACATTTCTTCCTCCACCCACTGCAAGGTGGGATGATGTCCCCAGTGATTTGTAGTCATGATCGTGTGTTGGAATTTTGCCCTCAGACTGATCAGGTTTAGAGATTACCGATTGATAGAGAGATGTGTCCAGGAAAGCCCGGGAATGCTGCTTAGCCTTCTGCAAGCGGATGCATAGCTAATGACCAGTGACTCTGTAGCAGTTGGGTCAGAGACAGAGCCCATGGTGGGGGATCCTACAATGCTTCCCAAGCCTGCAGCCCCTTCTCAGGGAAAAGTGGACGGCTGTAGGGACCAGGAAGCATCTTGTCCTTGCTGCCAGCAGCAGGGCAGCATGCACCTGCCCACTGGCTATGTGACCACCTCCGTACCTGCTGTACCTCTGGGTTTTTTCATCATGTTGCCTGAGATCCTGTGACTGGGGTCACCCTGAAGTAGGCAGGGACACTGAGAACCATTATTAAAGTGGCCACTCGGTTGGTGGTAAGATCCCACTCCTCATGCCTCTTCCAGGTTCATGTGTGGCTTTCCATGTCCATGCAAGCTTCATCTGGCATCTACGTGATGTGTCTGCTCTGTCTAAGATGGGAGGAGTGTTGTCAAGGGTACCCTGGAATGATGGGAGGACAGAGTGGCAGACACATAGAGAAGAGGGTGGCCCTCCATTTCTTCTGTTTTGAGCAGCTTTTTTTTTTCTAGAGTGGAATCTGGGATTGGGTTATAGGGGACAGGTGGAGGCCCAGGGCCCACATGGAGAAGAAGAGGTGTGGCAAGACACACATGGGGGTGGGTGGGACTTAGTTGTCCAAGTTTGGGTGAAGGTGTGGGCTCGGGCAGAGCTGTGGTAGATCAGAAACCGACCACTTGGGCCTGCCTCAGTTCCTTAGCACAGGGACCAGGCCGGATCTGCCCATCCCTTTTTCTGGTGGCCCTTGCCTATCAGGGCCCCTTCACTTGAGCCAGCCGGCCACACTGCCTTTTCTCCAGGGACTTGATCTCTATAAGTGCCTGGATGGTGCCAGCACTACTCTGGGGGCTGCTTGGTTTAGGGTGGCCCTGGTCAGCGGTTATTTCCAGCTGTCTTTGCTGCCTTTACCAGTCTGGACTGTTTCACATGGCCCAGTATGCACAAAAGTACACAGGCAGAAGTGTGAGCTCGCCTATGGGAGGAGGGCCCCATGTGGATTGGAGTAGAGGATTTGTTTGTAAAATCATTTGTAACCAAGGCCATATTGCTTAATACAGATCTGTAGCACACCAGGTAAATTTTAGGAAAGATGCCATAGGTGTCAACAGCAGGTGTCACAGACAGGTGTGAGAGACAAGTGTCACAGACAGGTGTGAGAGACAGGTGTCACAGACAAGTGTCACAGACAGGTGTGAGAGACAGGTGTCACAGACAGGTGTGAGAGACAAGTGTCACAGACAAGTGTCACAGACAGGTGTCATAGACAAGTGTCACAGACAGGTGTGAGAGACAGGTGTCACAGACAAGTGTCACAGACAGGTGTGAGAGACAGGTGTCATAGACAAGTGTCACAGACAGGTGTGAGAGACAGATGATGAAGTGAACTCTGTCCAGACAAGCTTTATTAGGAGTGCCGTGACCTGCAAGGGGGTCTTAAGGGGAAGGAGCAAGGAAGAGAGGCTCTGAGGGTGTGGGACAAAGGGAGTTCTTAGCAAGTGGGGAAGGCTCCACACCTGGTGATCCATCTTACCTGCTAGGAGTCAGGGGGCCAGGAAGGCACTAGGTAAGCATGAAATCACAATTCAAAGTTGCCTTGGGTCTAGGGAGCAGCAGTTGCTTGCCCACAGCTGTGAGGTGGAGGGGAGACTTGGAGGACGGAGCAGTTGTTAGCTCTCCTTCTCCCTTTTATAGCATGAGTAATAAAAACCCAAAGACAGATATTGGGGTTCAAGTTGAAGATCAGAAAAGCAAAGCAGCCAACCACTAAGAGTTCTTACCTCCACCAAGGCTGGGCGATCCTGTCCTCAGCCTAAATGCAGACTGAGACCCAGAGCTCCTGTCTCCTCCTGTCTTATATTCCACTGGGATTAAAGGCGTGCACCACCACTTCCTGGCCTCTATGGCTGACTAGTGTGGCTGCTGGGATTAAAGACATGTGCCTCCACTGCCTGGCCTGTATGGCTGATTAGTATGGCTGCTTTGCACTCTGATCTTCAGACAAACTTTATTTATTAAAGCACAAACAAAATATCACTATACCCTCCTCTGGGGGAGGCGTGGCTATATCTTCCCAGAGCTGGGGCACTTGGGGGCACCTGACTCTTAAAGTGGCCACATGTTTTAAGGTCTGTGACCTAACATGGGGTGGTGAGATGTGGAGGAGCGCACCCAGGCTCCCAGAGCCTTCAGGGCACAAAATCTTAAGCTCTTTCTTTCGAAAGGGGACGTCTTTCTTAAGGGAGCCAGGGGAGGTACCAGGGCGGCTGCTGAGGCTGTGGTTGATCCCCGAGGGCATCACTGCAGCTCAGCCAGGGACACGAACTTGCGGATGTCCTGGGCCAGAAGCTTGGGCTCTTCAAAGGCAGCAAAGTGGCCCCCACGCTCCATGTAGGAGTAGGAGATGAGCTTGGGGTACTTGACCTTCACCCACTTTTCTGGAGCATGCAGTAGCTCACAAGGGAAGGCAGCATAGCCAGTGGGCACCAAGACCTTCATCCTGTGGGGAAGAGGGGTTGCTGGGGATTAAGGCTGCTCTCATGTCCCATGGGCAAGACGAGGACCTCAGGGCTGAGGACCCATAATGGACCCATAATGACAAGGACAGACTCAGGAATCAAACAGCTATTCACTACAGCCACTGCTTCTACTTACTAAGGACGCTCTCTGCCTGGGACGACCATGTGACAGGTCATGTGAGCCTCTAAATACCCACTTTGCGAGTCTTTTTCCTCACTGTCACCTGAGGGTCTGCATATATACCTTGCAAACTGCAATACCTCTGTCCCAGCAGAGCAGGATCCAGGGAACATCAGGATCCCAAGAACATCTGCTGTCTTTCTTATCTCACCATCTTGCCTTCTTTGAATTAAAGGCCAAGTGGTTACCAGCCCCAGCCCCAGAGTCCCCTCTCCCTGCTCAGCAGGCTTACCCTTCATGCCTATGGACCATGATGCCCTGACCCAGGTTCTCCTTGTAGAAGCGCTGGGAGGAGACAATGGTTCCTGTTGTCCAGTAGATCATGATGTTGGTCAGCAGATCTTCCAGGGAGAACTTCCTGGGAAAGCACACAGGATGCCCAGGTCAGTGGCAGGGTCCTTGCCTATCTGACTTCCCTCAAATGACCGGTGTCATTTTTTTCCATAGGTCCTGCTTCTAGGTGGATAGCTAGTGCAGAGTGCAGACCATGGCAATCAAGTTATAAGTTTCTCACCTGCCTCACCACCAGGTGGCGCCCGTGCACCCAGGGGCTTTGAGCCCAGGGGTGCACACCACAGCTTCTACCTCCTCCTTCCTCCTGCGTTTTTCAGGTTGAGGCTAGCACTGCCCACCCTCCAGTGACCATTCTCCCGCCCCCAGTTCAAGATTCCAGGTTTCTCCAAATTAATTTCCCTCTCTCAGGATGCTAAGGGATTTGAAACTCCTGGCAGCAGGAAGAGGCTGGTCTTCTGGGTATTCCTCAGGAGCCAGCACACAAAGTGGTTTGAGGTGATGAACCAAGAGTCAAGGGACCCAGGTACTAGTCTTGGCCCTGGTACTAAAGAGCCCTGCGGCTGCAGTTGTTTGCTATGCCCACGTCTCAGTTTGTCCTTTGGTAAAAGTAGAATGAGTAATACTTGGAAGATGTGAGGGACATCAAAGTAAAGCATATAGAAAACATGGGTCCCTTACTTTGATTGCATGCCAATCAGTGTGATGATTCGGATAGGAAGTGCCTCACAAAAGGTCCAGAAACTGATATAAGGCTTTGGGGAAGTGATTGGATCCTGAGAACTCTGACATCATGAATAGACAGCTCTATAGATGGCTTTCCATTTTGATAACATTTGGGAGGTGATAGTCAAGAGGAGTCTGGCTGAAGCCTGCAGGGTACTGGGGGCCTGTTCTTAGCTGGTCTGCTCTGTGGCTCTGCCTTGCCTGTCTGCCCTGATGCTCTACCTCACTGTCGACCCAGAAACAAGATACCACAGCTGGAATCTCCGAAATCATGAGCCACAACGAACTCCCTTCCTTTTGAGTTCACTGCCCCTTAGTAGAGGAGAGGAAAGACAAGGACTTGGGGACATGTTTTGTCTGGGTTGGGTACCAGTCAGGGAAGACATCTCTAGGAGGTGATCTTGACACCTTGGTCTTGTCAAGACCTTGATTGTGTCTTGAAAGAAGAACAAAATGGTGGGAGGGTGTGCAGACAGGTTAGCTTGGCAAACACCACAGGGCTGGAGGTGGGGGGAACCCGAGAGCCCAAACCTTACCTCCTTGGGGATCAGGTTCTGTACTCGGTCCTGAGAGGAAAGGAGGGAGACAACAAGGGGAAGCCTATACTCCCAGGAGCTTGGAACTCAATGAGGGGCTGGCGAATCCCTGTTGTCACTGAAGGATGTAGCCTTTTGCAGGGTCACAACCCCAGAGATTCCCAGGAGCTTCCTGGAGAGCCCCTGCTCTGGTCTCAGGCTGACCACTGTGGATGCTGCCACTGCTCCCAGGATGTTCCCTGACCTTAGAGCCTTAACCCTGTGGTTTTCTGCTGTTCAGTCTTCCAGTGGTCCAAAGTCCCCGTGTGTTTTCCCTGCCCCTCCGGAAAACCCAATCCTAGCTACTGCCACTTTTGAAGTTCCCAAACTGGTTCTTCCTAGCAGGCTGGTACCCACCCTTCCGCCTTTTCTTGCTACCCTCTTTGAGGATATCTTGGCCGACCAGATAGCTGTGTTAGCAATCTGTCTTGGTTTCGAGGTCTTTTCTGGGCTTCCCCATCTGCCTTGTTGGCCCCACACTGTCAGTTATCTCCCTGGACTGTTCACATACAGTCTAGGGGCTCACGATATCGCTAGGTTACTTTGTTCCCAGCCTGGCCGACATCCATATTCTGGCCACTTGCCCGCAACCTCCTCTGAAACCTTTCTCAGTCCTGTATTCAGAAACTGTCTCTGCTGCCCAGACCCAGAGAAAGGGGCCTCTTACTGGGTTTTGTCTCCCCAATCTTCCTGCCTGTTTGTTTCTCCTTTCCCTTTTCTCCCTTCTTTGTGGTTAACAAAACTTTGCAGCTTCCCTGGGTGCTGTCCTTCAGATTTTTTCTATGTAGGTTGAACTTGGCTCTAAAGACCCCTCACCTGAGCTCTACATGTCTGGGTCCAAGCCCTGCCCCTCCCTCCACACAACCATGCCAAGAATGATCTTACTGTCTATGCTGAGACGGACCATTTGACATTCATGCCAGTACACACATGAATGCACAAACACCCATCTACCTAGTCACAGTTTTCAGGGGCCTGCACATTCACACCTATGCACACGCACACATATATGCATAGTGGTTAAGGGCTTATACACTCACATACCTGTGCTTACTAATATACTGACACACTCAGTGTTGTACACTCACCTGTGCAACATGCATATACACACCTGTGTTGGCTTTTAGGCATGCATACTCATAGCCTCACACACGTGCATGAACACTCTCGTATGCAAGCATGTGTGTTTACATGAAAAAGGCTCAGGGGTCCTCCCAGTCCTACCTACAGGTTCCTCCCTCTTACTCTCCACTCTCTAGCTGGAGATGTGCCATTTCCAGGCATTGATATCTGGACCAGAAACCCTGGTTCTGTGTCTTCCTTGTTCCCTCAACCTCAGCTGCCCTGACTCTCTCTTCCCATGGTGCCTGTCCCTGCTCCTGGCACCTGGACCACAATACCCAGGCTGCTTTCCCTACCTGGCCCTCAGCTCAGCTCCAGGTCCGGATTTAGCTGATTATCAGCAGCTATGGACTGAGAGCAGCCCTAGGAGGAGTTTGCTGCTTTCCGCGAGTTCCCACGCCCTTTTGCCCAATGATCTTTCCGTTCTCTGAAGCATGCTCTGATTTACCTCTGCCTGCTTTTGCTAATGGAGTAGGGCAGGGACATCCTGGAGTGTTGAGGGCTAAGGGGGCACTACAGAAATATTTCTATGAAATGGAAAATAGGGAGACTTTAGGTGATGAGAAGCTTCCTTGGGGGGAAGACTACCCCGAGATTAAATCAAATATGTGTCTCCTGTGGACTGGAGCTCTGCCAGGAGCTCTCTGTCTTCTGCCTGATCACAGCTGCTCATCTACCACACCGGCCACTTCCGGACTCGGTGTGAGTCTTCTTCCTGCCACAACTACCTGTCTGTCATTGCTCAGAGATCTGGGCTGCTCATGCCAGACCAGAGACTAAAGGGGGCTGCAGGCATGGTCGCAAGGAGCATACCAAGTCCCTTGCCAGGGAGCCAGGGGCATTCTCTCAGTCAGGATTCTTGCTGAGTGTGCTCTGTGGGAGACAGACTCAGGGCGAGGACTTGTCCGGGCTCTTGGTGACCTGCCCAGAGGAACGGATTGGTGACCTGTCCTTGACGGATCTGCTCAAGTCACTGGACAAATCCAAACTCAACTTGCGTTTAAATTGCTTTTCTCTCTGCCTCAGTTCCCTTCTTCCGCCCAGGAGAATCTTAGTGATCTTCAGTGAGGCATACATCCTGGCACTTCCCCTTGAGACAAAGCAGATGTCTCCTCTGGTCCTGCGCAGCCCTCCGCCCACAGGCTTGTTCTCCTACCATCAGTTTCTTTCTTTTTCAAGACAGGGTTTCTCTGTGTAGCCTTGACTGTCCTGGAACTCGCTCTGTAGATCAGGCTGACCTCGAACTCACAGAGATCCGCCTGCCTCTGCCTCTGCTGGGATTAAAGGTGTGTGCCAGCACCACCCGGCTCCCATCCATTTCTTGAAGACTCACTGTATCAGGCTGCTGTGGTGCCGAGGTGAGGGTGGGGACAGAACAGTGTTTTTGTCCCCGGGCAGATGCCATCCCATTTCATTTTCTCTTCCTGCCCACAGCTCTGGGGTGGGCACTTTGTGTGTCACTGAACAAGGAAAGAAAGGCATAGACCCTGGGGGCTGGGGACCAGAGTGAAATCCTGCACCAGGCTAAGGAACAGGACTAAAATCTGATGCATGGTGCAGCTTCCAGAACTCTGGAGATGGAATGGCTCCCCAGTCTTTTCCACAGCCTCTCTTCATTGGCCCCCACAGAATCTGTGGAGGCTCTGGGTGAGAGACCCTGCTATTCTGCAATAAGGGTTGCTCACTGTCCTGGGGACTCCTTGCCTGTAGGGGGAGCTGCTGAGTTCTGAGTCCTCTGTGTCACTAACCTATTGAACTAGACACTTGTCCTGTGGGTGTCTCCACCTCTCCATCCTCCACACAGGGTCTCTCTGGTCACGAGTGGGGTGATAGGATGTGTAGGACACCAAAGACAGGGGAGCTTGCTGGTCCTCTATGGACCTCGATCAGGGATGAATGATGGGCAGGGAGAGGCAGAGCCTCGGGACTGGGTCCTTGCAGCAGGGCCATGGGGCCTCACCTCTCCAGGCCTCCGTCTTCCAGTTCACGGTATTCTGGGTTGGTCCAGGTGGAGAACTTTTCTAAGATGTAGGCAGCCAGGCCCACGGGCGAGTCGTTCAGAGCACAGCCTGGATGGGAAGGAGCAAGGGAGGGATTCGAGCCTGGCCCCAGAGAGTATGACTCCAGGACAGAGGTGTGTGGCTGGGTCAGCGTTGTAATTGGCAGAAGCCCTGTCTCCAGCACAGCCCTGCCACATGTCCCACATCTGGGGCCTCTGGGGCCCTTGTGACGTCATCTGGTGAGTGGGTCCAATCCCCCCATGATCTCCTGGACTGGGTTTCTTGAGGTCCAAGAGAGAACTCTCTCTGTGTCTCTGTCTTTCTGTCTCTCTCTCACATACACATGCACACATACACACGGGTTCACACACACATACACACAAGCAAACACATGCATACATACACACATTTTCTGTGGTACTGAGCCTTGAATCCAGGGCTTCACAAGTGCTCAAAAGCTCCGTCATTCACCCAACTTACAATGCCGTTTCTATAAAGATGAGAATTTGATACTTAAAATGAAAAACAGGAAATATGGCTTAGTGGTTAAGAGCTCTTGCAGAGGACCTGGGTTCAGTTCCCAGAACCCACATGGCAGCTCACAACTACCTGCTACTCCAGTTCCAGGGGACTGAATACCCTTTTCTGACCTCTGAGGACTCCTACTCACACGGTGCACATGTATACACTCAGGCACATACATACATACATGCTGCATACATACACACACAAAAGAAAGATAGAAGGAAAGGAAAAGAAGAGAAACAGTCTAAAAGTACCTAAGAGGAAAAATCAATTATAAATATTGACACATGACTGACACCAAATAACATTCCAGAGATTAAAACTCTAGGGCCTTGGGGTGGAGCTCAGTGGTATGATATCTGCTCAAGACTCTTCATAGATCCTTAGCACCAAACCAACCAGACAAAACCAAAATAATAGACTCTGAACAAACCACCAGCAAAAGCCCCAGACCAAACCAAACACAAGGCTTTGACCATAGCAAGTGTTAGTATCTGGAATGTTCTGTGCCGTAGGAACTGTGAGATGCCCAAAAATGGGTCCAACAATTCTCAGGTGTCTTTAAGTGAACCAGGGGAACATCCTTCCCAGTCCTCCACACCTTTAGGGCGGTAATTCTCAACCTTCCTAGTGCTGCAACTCCTTAATACAATTCCCCATGCTGTGGTGCCCCCAACCATAAAATTATTTGTGTTGCACTCCTTAACTGCAATTTTGCTACTATCATGAACTGTAATGTAAATATTTTTTGGAGACAGAGGTTTGTCGAAGGGGCCACAACCCACAGACTGAGAGCCACTGCTTTAAGGGTTCCATCTACCCTTGTTATTAATCACTTCATGGCTCCATAGATTAAAGAAAAGCCAGAGCAGGGCAAATGATTCTCGTCTGTAGAGACGGATGAAGGCATTTTCTAGGGATCTTTATTTACCACTCTGTAGACGAGCTTTGCAGTCCTTAAAAAACTGGTTTGTAAGCTGGGCAGTGTTGGCACACGCCTTTAATCACCCAGAAGGCAGGGGCAGGCCTCTGTGAGCCTCGAGGTGAACCTCGTCTACAGAGTTCCAGGACAGTCAGGGCTACCCAGAGAAACTTTGTCTTGATAAACCAAAAAGGAAAGAAAGAAAACTGGTTTGTGCTCCTACCTGCCTTTGCTGATAACACTTTACTGGTTTCCTGTGAATAAAATGAGTTAGATGTACTGGGACCTGCTCATTGATACTGGTAAAACTGCCAGATTTTCAAGTTTTTTGTTTTGTTTGTTTTTTTTCTGGCAGGGTTTCTCCGTGTAACAGCCTTGGCTGGCTCGGAACTCATTCCGAAGACCAGGCTGACCTAGAACTTAAAAAGATCCACCTGCCTCCGAAGGGCAGTGCACCACCACTGCCTGGCAAGTAGGTTTTAAAACAAGCTGTCTGTAAATAGAACCAGGGGACAGGAATGGTTGCTAGCCCTCCTCTCAGAGTTGACTGAGACTTCTAGTCCCTGTGGCACCCATAGCTGTTGAACCCTTAGACTTCTGCCCTTAGCCCTTTCTCTTTACTCCTTGTAGAGGACTAAAAATCAGGCTGGGGGTGAGCAATCTCAGCCCCTTGAGCACACGATGAATTACATTAGTGGAGGTGTTTGAATTATTCTGGGAATCTGGAAAGCATGTGGGACCTTGGGAACCCGCCTCCATAGAGAATGCAGTCTCTGTTCTGAGGTCCTTGCTTTCGTTCCGTGAGCACTGCTCCTAGGAGGAACCGGTTTCCCTCTCCTGAGTGTACTTACCCACGGTGTCTGGCTTGGTGGCCTGGATGTGTAGGTAGCCACTCTCCCTCACGATGCTGTTGAAAACCTTTTCCTTGAAGGGGTATAGGAGCTCGATATCCCTCTCAGTGTAGCCAAGAAATCTCCCGAAGCTCTGGCCCAGGAGTGGGGTCAGGGTGTAGATATTTTTTGTCATGAAAGCTATATTCAGGTGTAGGCCTTTCACGTGGCTGTGGACCGAGAAATGGGCACAGGTGATTTTGCCTGCTATGAAGGCTTTGGGAAGGAGATGGAGGACAGGGACATGTCACAGAACTGGAGAGCACAAGTCAGCCTCCTTCATCCGTCTGTCCCAGTGAAAATGCATGGACTTGGAGGTGAGGGGCAAGAAAGGACAGTTTCTAAAGAGTTCTGACCAGGGAAACTTTAGAGTCTGCCAACCATGAAGGTCAACCAGGTGTGTCCAGCTTGCAGCCCGTGGACCACGTGTGTAACAGGAAAGGTATGAATGCCACTCAGTACACTGTGGTTAGCCTGGGTGCCTATGAAGGGCCACTACTCTCGTGTTACCCCCGGAGGAGGGTGGGACCAGTATATTCCATTCTTAGATATCCCTCTTCGGTACCACGGAGGACTTGGCTTAGAGGGAGCTCCCAGTCTCCCTCTGAGGAGGGCCTAGGGTGAACAGCCCTGTGTCCTGTGTGGATGGTGTACACACAGATCCTGGCGAGGCTGTACCATGCCTGAATGACTACATCGACTCACTTGGGAACCATCTGGGCCATGTTGGTGCAGATGAGGGACCCCCAGTCCCCGCCTTGAATGTAGAATTTCTGGAAGCCCAGCCGTGACATCAGCTTGTAGAAGATCCTGGCGGTGGCCACAGTATCAAAGCCTGAATGTGAAGGGCACAGACAGGGGAGTCATGAGGACGCCTTCAGAACACTCGGGTGCCTGCGAAGTACCCTAGACCAGCCTCCCTCCAAGCTGAGGAAACAGAGGCCCACAGAAAGCTAGAAGGAATCTTAGAGATGCAAGGACACTTTCCCCGGACACAGGGAAAGGGTGAGAGCTGCCTTCCTCAGGATAGGGCGGTGATTCAGTAGCTGCCACTCTGCCAGGCAGGAAGGTGTGTGCAGAGCTTGGCTAGTCACTGTAGGTTGCAGGATACCCTGCACAGGGACTTTATTAGCCGTGTTGGCCTAGAGCAGGGCATGGCCCAGGTATGGAGCTGCCCCTGAGCAGCAAATGCATGAGTCCACGCCTGAGCAGTGCTAGGCAGCCACATCTATCCCCTTGGCTCATGCCACTAAAGAACTGGCCATGTAGAACCTAAAATGTCTGTCAGACTCTCTAGATTCCCTGCTTCATCTTAAAAGGAGAACGCCGTGGCATCTTGGCTACATGAGGCACAGTCTGGCATGTGCCACCCTCCAGCACCCTGTACCTTTCTTGCTAGATGCCTCTGAGAAGCCATAGCCAGGAATGGAGGGGCAGATGACTTCAAACACGTGCTCGTCACTCAGGCCGTGGGCCTTGGGGTCGGTCAGCAGCGGGATGATCTTGTAGAACTCATAGAAGGAGCCAGGCCAGCCGTGCACCATCAGCAAGGGCTTTGGGGTGAGGCCTGAGGGCAGCTGGGGAGGCTTCACGTGGATGAAGTGGATGTCCAGCCCTGGGGAAGAGCACAGTCGGGGTGAGGGACGGAGGGGCCTGCTGCAGTGGAGGCTCCTGGGCACTGAGGCCACCAAATAGCTGTAGATGGTACAGAGAACCACAAACCCAGGCCTGCAGAGCATCCTGCAAACACCAGGCCCAGCAGGACCCATCCTGCAAACACCAGGCCCAGCACAGGCTGCCAGTCCTACCAGATCACACAGGATGGTCTTAGCCCGCTACTGTCCAACGTGAATCGAAGGCCAGGACTGTTCTCTTTGAGCATTTGTACCCTGAGCAGGCTTTGTGCTGCAACACTCTAGTAACCATGGTTACTAGGTAGCCAGTGAGTGGAAGTTGCATTTCCTAGCTTGCCACCACTGAAAGCGAAGTACTGCCTAGTCCCATCCTGCGCATTGCCTGACCTGCTTCCTCCTCCTCCACGGGCCACTTGTCCTGATGTCAGGTTCTGTGTATTTTACCCCAAGAGATGTGAACTTGAAAAGTTTGCACAGTGGCTCTGGTATTTCTTAAGTGTTTCCATATCTGATTGCCTTTAGGGTTTGCGAGAGCTGCTGTGAATTTTTGACTTGGTGGGATGGAGAATTGTCTAGGAGACAAGTCTCTGGGCAAATCCGCGAGGGATTGTTTAGATTAGCTTCAGGTGGGAAGACCCATCACTAATTGGGCAGCACCAGCCCCCGGACTAGGTTACTGGACTGAATGTAAAGAAGAAAGTCAGCTGAGCGCAAGAATTCATTGCTCTGTGCTCCTGACTGCAGCTGCAGGGGACTGGCTTCTTCATGCTCCTCCCACCATGACATCATCATGATGGCCTGCACCCTTGAAGTGTTAGCTGAAACAAACCCTTCTTTTCTTAAGCTTGTGTGTGTGTGTGTGTGTGTGTGTGTGTGTGTGTATACAAGTGTGTGAGTGTGTGCGCATGTGTGCTGAGGTCAGGGAGGACATCAGAAGTCCTTCTGTAATACTTTGCTTTATTCCTTTAAGACAGGGTCTACCACTGAACTTGAAACATGTTATTTTGTTTGGGCTGGGAGCCCCCAAGGATCTCCACCTCCTGACCCCACATGTCTGGGATTACAGCTGTGATCTTTATTGCCAACTTGGTTGGTTTGGGGATCACATGGGAGATCCATGTGAGGGTGTTTCCACAGAGGCTTGAGAAGTGAGAAGACCCGCCCTGAATATGGGCATCATGGGATGGCCAAAAAACAATATGGAAGACAGGAAAATGAGGAGCTCCCATTCCTTTCTGTTTCCAGTATGACATCACTTCCTTGCTGCAGGGGCTTCCCTGCCAGGATGGACTGTACCCTCAAACCACGACGAAAACAAACCAGTGATACTTCACTTATCTTTGTCAAGTTTTATGTTGAGCACTGAGGAAAATAACAATTCAACTGGGTCACTAATCTCACACAGGAAGGCTGCCCCTGTGACTCACACACCCCTAGGCCCAGCTGGGCGTCTGCAAACTCACCTTCAATCTTGGTCTTGAAGTGAGGGTACTGGTTGAGGATCTCCACCTGCTTCCTCCAGTCAAACTCATTCCTCCAGTAGGACACCACTTTCTTCAGGTAGCTGGCGTTGAAGCCATAGTGGAAGCGACTGCCCTCCAAAGGTGGAGATGCCCGGAAACTATCGATCCTGTGGTGTAAGTCCTGCAGTGAAGAAGTCAGGGTGGGTGGGCAGAGGCAGGAGAGAGCTGTGTCCACAACTCAGAGTGAACCCTGCAGCCACAGATGGACACTGTGGAGGGGCCACACAGGGCCCATGGGTGTCACTGGATCCCTGAGAGGCTTATGGGTTCTCCCTGTGGACTTCAAATTCCCTTTCATGTATTGGTGGGATGGGAGGTGCAGGGAGAGACTGGAAGACTGCTCAGGCCACACATGATCCGTTCTCCCTTCCAGCTCCCTTCCAGGCATCTTCTCATTCCTTAGGTGTGTCAACAATACTCACTTTGTTTTTTTTTTTTTTTTTTGAGGCAGGGTTTCTCTTTAGCCTTGACTGTATTGGACACACACTCTAGACCAGGCTGGCCTTGAACTCACAGAGATCCGCCTTCCTCTGTCTCCCAAGTGCTGGGATTAAACATGTGCACCACCACTGCCCAGCTCCAATACTTGCTTTTAATTCACCAAGCCTCTATAGAGCAGGCACTTTGTCAAGAGCCACAGAACAAAATTACTAGGCTTTGCAAGATGCAGGTTCTCCCTGCAGCAAAGGAGATGCCACTGATAACCCCTGCATGAGCAATAAGACCATGGCCACAGATGACCTCCACATGAGCAGTGACGCCTTTGCCACAGATGAACCGTGCATAAACAGTGAGGCCATGGCCACAGATGACCCCCACATCAGCAGTGAGGCCATGGCTCAGATGACCCGCACATAAGCAGTGAGGCCGTGGCCACAGATGACCCCCGCATGGTCAATGAGGCCGTGCTCCATCAAGTTACATCCATGACTGAAGCTCAAATGTCATACAATCATTGCATACCTCCAATTTCTAGGGTTTTTTTTTGCCTTTTGTTCACACTGATTTCAAGATTACAAAAGTCATTCTTGACAGTGGCCAGTGCAGGAAAAGGTCACAGGCTACATCTGGCCTGTGAGCCATGATGTGCCAACACCTGCTAACAGTTGAACAACTCACCCTAACCCAGGGAGATAAAATGGACTGTTGAGGAGACAAGTTCTGGGTGTGAATCAGGCTAACAATCTAGCAGTCCATCTGGGCATGCTCATTTCAGGTCATGGAAGAGCTCAGGCATTACCAGAGACTTCCCCAGGGCCCTGGCCTTTCCCAGACAGGCTTGCACACTTCAAAGCCCAGCTTCTGCCCTCAGCCTCCTAGTTCTTGGTCCCTTTCTCCTTGGAACTTTGGTGATCTTTAGTCAGTGCGTCTGATGATGCTGATTCTTACTGATCTGTGTGTCTCCAAATCTTAACACCATGTATTCCTTACTCATTCGCGGAGGCTGAGTGTGTGCGTGAAGCTGTATGGGGGAAGGGGGCATGTCTGTCTTCTCCTATGCATTTCATAGAGCGCCTGCACCTCATGGGTGCTCAACTACTTAGGATGGAAAAACGGATGGGCGAGACCACATTAGACTCCCCAGGCCCTTCCAGGATGCTCTTTCCTTTGCTCTCTGCCCCTTCTGGTTTGATTATTTTGACTTTGGGGTTGTGCAGAAGTGACCTTGGAACTGCAGCTGATTTCTGACAATTCCTCTTGTTCATTCATACAGTCTCCTGGGACCCATGGCCACTTCATTTTTATCCTCTGTGAGCTGAGATAGCGAGCCCCACTGGACAGCTTGATTAAGATCCTGACAGGCCCAGGAGTACCCAACACATAGTAAGGGTACACTTATGGCTAACCCCGTGATCTCCAAGCTGTTGCATTTCCAGGGGGCATCTTCTCCCTCTGTTGGTGAGATTACCACAAATAATTTGAAGCATCTGTTCACTTTTCCCTTCAAGCTATCTCAGGCTCCATCCTTTGGGTTGGGCAAGGGGAGCTGAATGTAGAAAACTCCTGTGACCTGTGGATGAGACGACTCCCTGGCAGTCTTCCCGACCCATCCTGGTCCTTAGGTTAAAACTGGGGAGTTACAGGAGAAGATAAACATCTAACCCTAACATCTTTCTAGGGAGTAGTCTGTATCTTGCTTGAGAAGAAGGCTGGACAGATAAAGGGTCACTGAAGGTCTGTCCCCAAGTTCTTTCCCACCCCTGCCTTCATCCACATCAGAGTGGAGCCCCAACAGGGCTACCTCTCGGCTTTTGCTACTGCCTGAGAAAGGGTGTCTCACCTCGATCTCCTTATCTGATGTTTCCACCTTGAAAGGTCGGATGCTCTCATCTTCTCTGGTTGAGGACTTCGACCCTGGGCCCCACCAGCCATCTTCAAGTGGTAAGGTTTCCTCCTTGTCCCGGGAGACAAACCGGTAGATGACAAGGCCCAGCACTGAGGCCAGGAGGAGTTCCAGCCACATGACTCCTGTAAGATTGAATGGGATCCATCAGCAAGAGGAGCGACCCAGCCAGAACCTCACGTCTAGCTTTGCAGAGACTAGCTACCAAAAGGGATCTTCCCAACGCATCCCCAGGAGAAGTTCCAGCCACAAGACTTCTGTGAGACTGAATGGGAAAAGAGAAATAACAAGCTGTAGCATTAATTAAATATGACAAAAAGAGATTCACTAATAGGCCTGCTTAGGAAGCATGAAGTTACATAGAAATAGCTAGCTGAAGGCCCCTGCCTCAAGGTTACTAGAACATAGCTGTAAAGCCCGTCCAGACATGTTCTTCCTAGACAGAGAGCAGTACAGAGAGGGATAAGTTGGAACTTAGATGTATTGAAGCTGTGCTTTTAAACTTGCTCATCAGAGGCCCCTCCTCTCATTAGAAGAGAGCAAACATTTGACAAACTGCCTTGAAGGAATGACCTTGAGAACTGCCCAAGTCTTGTTAAAGGCAGTGTAACCAAGTTCTTCAGCCCTGTGATTAACAATTGCCAAAAAAACCAAAACAAAATAAAACAAAAAACAAAAAACAAAAACACATTGCAGCATAGAGGTAACCAAAAGCTTTCATTTTCTGCCTCTGCAACATTTGCTTCATTGCTCAAAAATTCTTGTGGGGTAAGACCTTCCTGGCCGCCTGCAGATGGAAGCTTGGGTAGAATCACATCATAACATTCTACATACAAGGTGGCCAATTTGTTTCCAGGCTGAATTCCCCGAGCATTAGCCGGGCACAGTTGAAAAGGAGTTTCTGAGTGCTGGTTGGATTTCTCGTTGGGTTGGGTAAATTTCCTTTTCAAGATTATGGGTACAACAAGAGGAGACTTGGCCAGGACTTGTTTCCTGGTAGGCCAGAGACTCCAGCTGCCAGTGGGCTGCTCCCTGGCACCTGCCCCACGAACTCCTGGCTTTCACATTTTCCTGTAAGAAAAATGTCAACAATGACAGAGCAAAAGGAATTCTTTCTTTTTTTTCTTCCTTTCTGAGACAGGATTTCTCTGTGTAGCTTTGGCTATCTTGGAACTCACTCTGTAGATCAGGCTGGTCTTGAACTCACAAAGATCCACCTGCTTCTGCCTCCTGAGTGCTGGGATTAAAGGCGTGCGCCACCACGGTCCTGCTGAAAGCCATGCTTCTTGTTTCTGCTGTGTTTTGTTTTTTTCACATGAACCCGTGAGATTCTTCTGTGTGATCGTTTGGTGGTAGCTGTCACTGAAGACTGCCACCCCCTAGGCTCACACACGGCCACCCAGCCTCACACAGAAGTGCTTCTTCAAGGGATCAGTACAGTGACTATGCACCCCATCTCAGAGCGAGGCCTCTGACCCATCACCACAGTCAAGAATCATTTGTAAAAACCAGCCTCTGCCATGCGTCTTTTAGTTTCTTTTGTTTGCTTTGCTTTAATTGCTGTGGCTATGGCTACAATCCACATTCTTAACCACACTAGGCCAGAACTCTTCTTCTGTTTCTCCATTTCCACATTCCGTATTCCGCCTTTTTAAAACATCCCTTTGTTCCAGCCTCTTTGACTGTGAGCATGGTTTATGATTCGTGTGTTCCCAGTGCTGGGCTCTGTTGTTTTAAATAAACAGTAGCCTTCAGACTCTGCTTTTTGTAATTGTTCTGAGAGGAACTCTGACTATGACCCCAGGAGGTCACCGACCCTTGAGCTCCAGCCATCTTCCTGCCTCAGTTTCCCTAGGACCCAGAACAGCAGGCATGGACCACATGTTCGGTTTAATTTAGGCCAACAATCCTGAAATTGTGTATAGAAAAGTTGGAAGCCAATGAGAAGATAGGTAAATCCACCTCACTCCCACTGTGTCATGAAAACCATGAACTATCCTGGGGAAATGAGCATAGTGACTTTGACACAGCCCTGGATAGGTCCCTGGGGCACATTCTGAGGCCTGGGACCTCTGAGGAGCCTTTGGCTCCTACTAGGAAGGCTTTCTGCCCACCTAGATCCCTGGGAGATGAGGGACTACCCGCTGTATGGACCTGACAGCAGGGCCTGGGTCTGAGTGGAGCTGACTGGGCTCCTTGCTCAGTCTCTCTAGAGGGTTGTCCTTCTGGTGTGTGAAGGGGAGCAACGGGTCAAAGGTTCTGGGAGATAGAGTCCAGTTGTTGATAAAGCATTAGGAAGCCCGTCTTTGGCCCCCATATCATCTCTGTGTATTTCCAACAGCTTTATTGAAACAGCACATACCCTTTAAATGTCTAATCCAATTGGAGTAGATTCATGCCATCTGTAGCCACCTATACAGTGGCTGGTTCCTCCAAGTTCCACCCTCCTCTGGGCCCAATGCAACCACTTCTTGAATTTCTGTGGCTACTCATGGCCTATTAAAGTTCAGAAAATCAGGTTATGTGTTAATCCCCACTTGATGCCTGTTTTTTTTCCCCTTCAGAGAGAAAAAGAACTTGGTTTCTGCAGACCAACAGGAGGAAGGCTCAGCCCAGACTGTGGCTGGAACATGAACTGTGTCTTTGGGACAGTGGCAGAGGTTTCATAAGATGCAATGCGTGTAGGAGCAGTGGATGACAGAAGATAGAGGGGACCAGATGGGCGCAGGGCCACTCCAGGCAGTGGAAGTGTAGGCAGGAAAGCACCCTGTCTGTGTGTCCGGCTCTTCCTGGGTTTTGATAGAGGCTCCAGGGTACCGCTATAGAGAGTCCCTTAAAGCTGATAATCAGGCCTGTGGATGCCCTTCCTGAATACACGAGTGTGCAGAGGGTCAGCACTAGGGTTTCTGCCGCACTGTGGCTAGGTATTGGGCACCTGCTTCCTGGCGTGTATGGGAACTCACACGTGGAAACTGATTATGTCTGGACAGTGACCTTACCAACCTCCCCAAGCCCGTCATCAGCCCTGGAGTCCACCTGTTTCTTCCCTCCCACCCACCCACCACTAGGCACCTCACCGCTGCCACACAGATTCAGCCCCCTCCATGGCCAGCTCCTCTCGGCTCAGACTCCCCACTCCACCTCAGATGCCGCTGCAGCTTTCAAGATCGACACAATTCCCATTAACTAGAACCACAGGCAAATTTAGCCCTCACTCCAGCCAGCTTTCGGAGCCACGCCCTGTGATCACAGACGTGAACTTTCCCACACATTTCCCTCCTCAGTTCTGTGTGAATCAGAGTGTCTGTGACAAAGTTTCTGGGGAGCCTTACAGTACCAGAAGCAGGCTTTGCCGGTCTCGCCAGGGGCAGCATGGGGGATCCTGGGAGTGACCATGCTCAGCCTGTCTGTCTCAGGATTTCCTTTCCTCACACTCAGTGCTTGTCCCCAGGAGACACGTCTTTGATAACTATCAGTCAGGTGGCAAGACCAGCATTCCTTGAATTAAAACAGACCGGAGTGGGCATAGACAGGCCCGTCCGACTTTAGTGGATTAAGAAAAGAATGTTGAAGGAAAGAAAGGAAGAAAGAAAGAAAGAAAAAAGAAGAAAAGAAAGGAGGGAAGGAGGAAAGAAAGGGAGGAAGGAAGGGAAGGAAGGGAGGGAGGGAGGGAGGGAGGGAGGGAAGGAAGGAAGGAAGGAAGGGAAGAAAGAATAGATTGTTGCACAGGTTTCTTTCTTGTTTCCTTTTTTAAATCGAAAGCCACCTCCTCCCTGACAGAAACCTTACTCTCGGAGAAGGTGCACAGTATCCTCTGGATCCTCTTGTCATGGAAGGTAGGGTAGGTGTAGGGACTGTGGGGGACACAGGGAGTAAGTGCCCTGGCAGAGCGGGCAGGTGCATGCAGTTCCCCCAGCCCGAGGCCTGTCCCGGCTCCTGTCGCTGTTCCTAGCACCCTGCACCACAGGGGGCACAGACAGTCGCTGTTTTTTGGACCCAGCTGAGCAGGTCCTGGAAGAAATGAGCAAATTTTGCATGGCATTATCAGGAGAGCAGCAAGAAGGGGCAGCAGGAAAGATGACCGACTTGTCCAAGGAACTTGACAATCATCCCCCTACCTGACTGCAGCAGGGAGTGACCAAAACACCACTGTTGCTTTTCCTGGGGACAGCAGTGCCTGATTTCCTCTTCTGGGCAGGGCTATCCCGGTGTGCCCCTGACTGTCCACAAGGACTCAGGCTCCTGATTCCTCGTCAAGCTGCAGACCTGCGGAGCTCTGCACACATCCCAAGCCCTTGGGGGAGAGGCAGGTCAGATCAAGTGTGAGCGTCTACCCACTCTCTTTTGTACACTTGCACCGCCCAATGACTCAGCTGATCTGTGTGTATCCAGGGCAGTTATGACTCTGGACTTCAGACAGCAAACTGAACTTCAATGACCCGGAGGCTGGGTACCAAGAGATCACTGCTGGCCCTCCATCTAAAGGAAGGGACTCGGGGACCTAGGGTGCAGGCTTCTTTCTTGGTGGAGTTTGGGTTATGTGTGGGGAAACGGCAACCTGAAAACGTTATATTGAAACTTCAGAAACAATTCATAATTGAAAACCGCGTGCCACTCTAGGTGGCGTGATAACAGCTCCCACTGTCCCACTCCGTCCCGCCTGCTTCCTAAGCCATGCCTTAGTCTGCTGCATCAAAACTGGATGCTCGAGGTGCCTGTTAGTTACTCAGTGGTGCTCAGCTGTCACTGCGACTGTCACAGTATGGCAGAGCTGTGTCCTGATTTCATTTCATAACAGTTCCGAGGTTCAGGTCCAGTGATACTGGCAACGCCGTACAGAATACAGGCTGCGGCTACCATTCACCTGGATTATTAGTTATTCTTGTTGGTCTCTCCCTGGGTCTAATTGCAAACAGCTTTCTCACGAGTGTGTATTCATTGGATAAACACATGCATTCTAATACTCTCCTCATTTTTCGGCTGCCACCAGGTGAAGTTTCTTGGGACATAATATCTTCCAGTAAACCCAAGTGAAGTTATAGCGGGGAACAAAGTAACAGATCTTATTTGAATTGTTCTCTTACACTCTGTTTAAGATAAGGCTATTAGTACTTTGCTCAAGAAAGGGACCTTGAGACTCCTGATCTCCGACGACAAGGCAGGTATGACTACACCAGCCTCCACTCCTTATTTTATAGCAGGTAATAAATGCTATTCTAGATTAGCCCAGTGTAGCAGCCCGCATCGACCTTCTGTAGGTTGGGTCTTGAGGGTGTGATACTCGATGGTGCCTACAGATTCATGAAGAAGACACAAGTCAGGGAACTGAATATATAGCTCGGGAAACAACAGCAGAAACTGACACGGGAGGGTGTCAAATTGCAGTTCTGTGCTGCAGAGCTAAGTGACGACCTCAGAATGGGAGGAAGCTTTTTGCTGGTGCTTCTTGCAACGGAAGATTAATATGTAGAACACACAAATAATGAAAAACAGAAGAACAAAAGATCCAGTTTATAAATGGGCCAATACTTTGAATGGACATGTCTCAAAGGAGGAACAAACGGCCAATAAACAAGGAAAAATGCCAGCCGGGCGGTGGTGGCGCAAGCCGGGCGGTGGTGGCACACGCCTTTAATCCCAGCACTCGGGAGGCAGAGGCAGGCGGATCTCTGTGAGTTCGAGACCAGCCTGGTCTACAAGAGCTAGTTCCAGGACAGGCTCCAAAACCACAGAGAAACCCTGTCTCGAAAAACCAAAAAAAAAAAAAAAAACAAGGAAAAATGCCCAATGTCCTTTGCCGTTAAGGAATGCATTGCCATCCAGTAAAAATGGTTGCTATTGAAATATCTAAAAGTAACCAGTCCAAGTGAGGGCATGGGGAACAAGGAATCTGTATACACGGTTGGTAGGAACGTGAATTTATGCAGCCACTGTGGAAATCAGTATGGAGGTTCCTTAAGAAACATAAGTTAGAACTACCATATGACCCAGCCACAGTATCAGTTATAAGCTTGGAAGAATATAAGTCAAAATATCACAGAGAGACCCTGTGTTGATTGCTGAATTATCTACAAGGCATAGAAACCAGCATAGAAACCAACAACAGATGAGTGGGTAAAGGAAACGTGGCATGCACACACAAAGGGGCTTTTCCTAAGCTATAAATATGAACGTCTTTGCAGGCAAACGGTAAAAGTTGAGGCCATCACAGTAAGCAACCGGTGCCTCAGTCTACTAAGCCATGTTGTTGGTCGTGACACAGGAAGACAAGTGTTCTAGCTGCTTTTCTGTTGCTCTGATGAAACACCATGGCCAAGCCACTTACCGAAGACTTTATTGAACTTATGGTCCCAGAGGGGTAGGAATTCATCACGGCAGGGTAGCATGGCCGCAGTGGTGGGCTCGTGGCAGGAGCAGGACATTGGGATCTCACATCCTCAACTGTGAGTGGAAAGCAGCTGGGTGAGGCCTTGAGCTCTCAAATGCCCTCAGGAACATATTTCCCCAGCAAAGCCTCCAGACAGCTCTGTCACCAACACCTTGACTGCCTGTATGCCTCATGTCTCGTCGTGATAACAATGGGATAAACCTCTGAAGCTGGAAGCCAGCCCAGTTGAAAGTTTCCTTTCATAAAAGTTGCTGTGGTCATAGTGCCTCTTCACAGCAATAGAAACCCTGGCTTAGACACTACCTTGATGGGCAGGGTAGGACACCTCCTGCCAAGGGCCAGACCGTTGGCCAAGAGGAGGTAGGTTGCATTTTTTACCTCAAAGGAAAGGCTGATAGAAGCCAGGCCATAGGTCAGGACTGGATGCTGAACAGTCAGAGTCAGGAAGGCGGTCTGTCTGCATGGTCCTGCCTACAGACCCTCCCCACCACGCAAAGAAACTGGAAAGCGCATCCCCCAGGGTGGTAGTAGCTTTATTATTGCAATCTGTAGAAAGTGGGGTCTTCACTGGGAGCCATTTTTCCCACCCAGGAGTTCTAGTTTTAACTTGAGAAACCCCATTACCAATTTCCATAATAGGTGCACCCCGGTAACATTCCCAATGCCTCCTCGTATCCTCCCTGGCATTGGCTGTCATATTTGGGACTTTGTAGATGGAAGTTTCTGTCCCGCCCAGTCCCACAACCATTCAGTCCCAAAGAGACACACAGAGGCTTATTTTAATTATAAACTGTTTGGCTTATTAGCTCAGGCTTATTATTAACTAGCTCTTACAACTTAAATTAACCCATAATTCTTATCTATGTTTAGTCATGTGGCTTGGTACCTTTTCCCAATAAGGCATTCTCATCTTGCTTTCTCTGTGTCTGACTCGTGACTGCAGACTAAGCCCTGTGTCTCTGTCTCCTCCCATTTTATATTCCCCTTTAGTGCTGGAATTAAAGGCCTGTGATTCCCTAGTACTGGGATTAAAGGTGTGTGACACCACTGCCTGGCCTCTACCGGCTTAGTTTTACCCTCTGATCTTCAGGCAAGCTTTATTTATTAAAACATAAATAAAATATCACTATAGAATATTTCTTTTCTGTGTATTCTTCGGGTCATTTGTTTTCCCTCTTTTGAGCTGCTCATTTCCCATCCATTAGCTGGATGACTTTTTGCAGGGGTGGGGGTTGTGTGGGGCATGTCATTTCTGGAGCTCAGTATAGATCACCCTCCTGTCAGATGTGTAGTTCTGTGGGCTGCCCCCTCACTCTGTTGATGGTTTTCTTTGCTGCACAGAAGGTTTTGATGTCCTGTAATTGGTTTGTGAATTCTTTAGATTTCCTGGCATCTTTAGATCCTTCCCAGAAAGTCCCTGTCTGTGGGGTCTATATCGAATCTGAGTTGTTTCCTTGATATTTTTCTCCAGCAGTTTCAGAGACTCAGGTCTTAATGAAGGTCTTTGGTCCACTTTGATTGGATTTTTGCACAGGGTGAGAGATGTGGTGTTAGTCTTCTTCTACACTCGAACATCCGGTTCTCTCGTCACCATTTGCTGATGCTTTCTATCAACGCGTTTTTTTGACACCTTGAGATTAGGTGGCTGTCATTGTATAGGTTTATATCCAGATCCTCTCCTGCTTTCCATTGGTCCATGTGTCTATATTTGTGTCAGTATCATGATGTTTCTGTCACTATAGCTCTTTAATGTAATTTGAGGCCAGGTACTGTGGTATTTCCAGCATTGTTCTTTCTGCTTAGGACTACTTTGGCTATTTGGGACTGTTTGATCCAAATACATTTTCTGAAGTAATCTTTCTTTAATGATTTGTGAAGCATATTGTTGGAATTTGGATAGGTACTGAGTTTAATCTATCGACCACTTTCACTAACATAGACATTTCCACAATATTAACTACGTATTCATGAGCATTGGACACCTTTCTTTTTTCTAGCATCTTCTAGTTCCTTCTTCAATGTTGTAAAGCTCTCTCTGTAGAGGTCTTTCACCCCCTTTACTACATAGATTCCTTTTTTAAAATTAGCTTAAAAATTTTATTTTTTTACTCCTATGGTGTTTGCCTGCATGTCTGTATACAAAATGCACGCCCGGTGCCTGCCGAGGCCAGAACAAGCACTGGATCCCCTGGAAATGGAGTTACGGATGGTTGAGTCATCATGTGGACGCTGGGAATTTGAACCTCTGGAAGAGCAGCCAGTGTTCCTAACTGCTGAGCCATCTCGCCAGCTCCCTTGAGGGTCTTTTAAGCATAGGCTCATGCATTCTAGCAATAGGTACGGTGCAGTCTCCTTTCACATTTGCATCTCCTTCTTTTAGAAATAAACTTAAGTTTCCGTGCATGCACACGTCATTCTCGGGAGATAGTTCTGTCCCGTGTGAGTCCCGTTCCCACGCATCGGCTCTGTGTTAGCTCCCTGCCCCTTACCCGCCAGTCTCGGCATAGTTAACCAGGTCAGTGGTCAGTGCTTAGGACCAGGTGCCAATATTTCACTTAGTGATGCCCTGGTAGGCAAGGGGGATCATGTGGCATTCTGAATGCCCAAGAGGGACTTCGAAGCAATTCCCTCAGGTGAAAAGTGAACGTTCTTAATGTATGAGTAAAGAAAAAGATAACACATGCTGAGACCCTGGAGGATCAATCTTTGATCCATCAACTTATGGAGAAGGAAAAGAAAATTCCTGTCATATTTCCTGTGGCCTCACACACTATCCCAGTTCCAGACAGTGTTCAGTAGTGATGGTTTTAAGGCTTCAGGGCACTTTTCATGTATTGGCTGGGAATCTTGGAAGGCCTCCCCTATAGATAAACCGGGAGCTTTGTAGGATGGATGCCAACCCCCTGGGCTGTAATGCTCTCCTCCCCTGCCCAG